CATACTTAAATTAAAACATATTAAAACACTGACTGTCATTAAAGTTAGTGTTAAGTTGTGTACCATTTAGTAATTTTTTTGGACCCAAGTTAGTTAAGATATAGTGTAATAATGAATAAATTTATGAATAGAATTTAGTGATTCATCACTTACATATAACATCCAGTGCTCATCCCAACAAGTACCTTCCTTAATGCCCATCACCATTTAGCCCATCCTCCCACCCAACACCCCTCCAGCCACCCTCAGTTTGTTGTCTGTAATTAAGAGTCTCTTATCATTTGCATTCCTCTCTACATTTATCTTATTTTCCTTCTCTTCCCTTGTGTTCATATGGTTTGTTTCTTCAATTCCACATATGAATTAAATCATATAGTTGTCTTTCACTAACTGACTTATTTCACTTAGCATAATACATTTCAGTTCCATCCATGTTGTTGCAAATGGCAAGATTTCATTCTTTTTGATGGTTGAGTAATATGTCCATTTTGTGTGTGTGTGTGTGTGTGTGTGTGTGTGTGTGTGTGTATACCACCTCTTCTTTATCCCTTGATCAGTCAATGGACATTTGGGTTCTTTCTGTAATTTGGCTACTGTTGATGGAGCTAGTTGATGGTGTTAGTTGATGGTGCTAGTTAGGGTGCATTTTTTCCTATCCTTTGGATAAATACCTAGTAGTGCAACTGCTGGGTCATAGGGTAGTTGTATTTTTAATTTTTGAGGAACCTCCATCCTGTTTTCCAGACTGGCTGCACCAGTATGCATTCCTACCAGCAGTGCAGAAGGGTTCCCCTTTTCTGATCCTTGCCAACATCTGTTGTTTCCGGAGTTATTAATTTTAGCCATTCTGACAGGTGTGAGGTTGTATCTCATTGTGGTTTTGATTTGTATGTCCCTTTTGATGAGTGATCTTGAGCATCTTTTTCTGTGTCTGTTAGCCATCTGGATGTCTTCTTTGGAAAAGTGTCTATTCAAGTCTTCTGCCCATTGATTTCCTGGATTATTTGGTTTTTGCCTGTTGAGTTTGATAAGTTCTTTGTAAATTTGGATACTAACCTTTCATCCGATACATCATTTGCAAATATCTTCTCCTATTTGTTGGTTGCCTTTTGGCTTCATTGAGTTTTTACTTCTCTGTGCAGAAGGTTTTTATCTTGATGAAATCCCAATAGTTCATGTTTGCTTTTGTTTTACTGTCTCAGGAGACATGTCTAGTAAGAAGTTGCTGTGGCTGAGGTCAAAAAGCCTGTGTTTTCTTCTAGGATTTTGATAGTCTCCTGTCTCACATTTAGGTCTTTCATCCATTTTAAGTTTATTTTTGTGCATGATATAAGAAAGTGACTCAGGTTCATTTATCTGCATGTCTCTGTCCAGTTTTCCCAATATCACTTGTGAAGAGACATTTTCCTCAGAAGAGATTCAAAAGTGATATTCTTTTCTGTTTTGTCAAATATTAGTTGGTCATACATTTATGGGTACAGTTCTGTATTCTGTATTCTGTTCTATCTATCTATGAGTCTGTTTTTTTGCCAATATAATACTGTCTTGGTGATTACAACTTTGTAATACAGCTTGAAGTCTGGAATTGTGATGCCTCCAGCTTTCTTTCTTTTTTTTTTTTTCTTTTTTTCACCATTACTTTGGCTGTTCAAGATCTTTTCTGGTTCCATACAAATCTTAGAATTGTTTGTTTTAGGTCTGTGATGAATGCTGGTGTTATTTTTATAAGGATTGCATTGAATGTGTAGATTTCTTTGGGTAGTATCAACATTTTAACAATATTTCTTCCAATCCAGTCCCAAACATCTGGGATATAGCAAACGTGGTCATAAGAGGGAAGTATATGGCAATATAGGCCTTCCTAAAGAAGTAAGACCTTCCTTATGCCTAAAGATCTGGAAAAAGAACAATAAATAAAGTCCTAAAACAGCACCAGAAGGGTAAAACTAGAGCAGAAATCAATGATAGGGAAATCAAAAAACAGTAGAACAGATCAATAAGACCAGGATATGATTCTTTTAGAGAATTAACAGGATTGATAAATCTCTAGCCAGATTTATCATAAAGAAAAGGGAAAGGACCCAAATGAATAAAATCATGAATGAAAAAGGAGAGATCACAACCAACACCACAGAAATGCAAACAATAATAACAAAATATTATGAGCATTATATGCCAACAGATTGGACAGTCTAGAAGAAATGGACAGATTCCTAGAAACAGATAAGCTACCAAAACTGAAACAGGAAGAAATAGAAAACAGACCTATAACCACTAAAGAAATTGAATCACTAATAAAAAGTCTCCCATCAAATAAGAGTGCAGGGTTGGATGGCTTCCCAGGGAAATTTTATCAAACATTTAAGGAAGAGTTAATATCCATTCCTTTGAAGCTTTTCCAAAAAAAATAGAAATGGAAGGAAAACTTCCAAACTCCTTCTATTAGGCCAGCATTAACATGATTTCAAAACCAAAGACTCCCTAAAAAGAATTATAGACCAATCACCCTGATGAACATGGATTCAAAAATTCTCAATAAGATACGAAAAAAACAAATCCAAAATACATTAAAACAATTATTCACCACAATCAAGTGGAATTTATTCCTGGGCTTCAGGGATGATTCAATATCCACAAATCAATCAACATGATATATCACATTCAAAAACGAAAGGATGGGAACCACATGATCTTCTCAATATATGCAAAAAAATCATTTGAGAAAATACAGCATCCTTTGTTCATAAATATCCTCAAGAAAGTAGGGATAGAAAGAACATACCTCAAGATCAAAAAGACCATTTTTGAAAGACTCATAGCTAATATTATCCTCAATGGGGCAAAACTCAAAGCTTTCTCCCAAAGGTCAGGAACACAACAGAGATATCCACTCTCACCACTATTGTTCAATACAGGGTTGGAAGTCCTAGCCTCAGCAATTAAGCAAAATAACGAAAAGGCATCCAAATCAGTAAGAAAGAAGTCAAACTTTCACTCTTCATAGACAACAATGATACTGTACATGGAAAACCCAAAAGATTCCTATTAGAACTACTAAAACTATGAGAACTAGTACATTAATTCAGCAAAATCACATATAAAATCAACATACAGAAATTTGTTGCATTTCTATACACTAATAATGAAGCAGCAGACAGAGAAATCAAGGAATTGATCCCATTTTTAATTGCCCCCAAAACCATAAAATACCTAGGAATAAACCTAACCAGAGAGGTAAAAGATCTGTCTGCTGAAAACTATTGAAAGCTTATGAAAGAAATTGAAGAAGAGACAAAGAAATGTAGAAATACTGTAATAACTGAAACTCACTCTTGCCTAGTCTAGGCCATAACATGGCTGCTTGAAGTAGAGTTAAGGAAATCAGGGAGCAGGAATGGAAGGCAGGAGTTCTCATTCCTTGGATCCAGGTAGGAGAGTCAGAGCTACAAATAAACCCACTGTTTGGTCTGTTTTCTTTGCCACTATCACATTCACATGGCTTCACCTGGAAGGTGAGGGGAAGACAAAGATTCAATTTAAGGCAATATCGGTTGCTATTGTATACAGTATTCAGAATTTCTTTGTAAAACTGTTTCTAAAACAGTAAAAGAAACTAAACCAAATAGATAAGTAAATGACATATATAATGTTTGGTTGCTTTCTCCCAAACACATCCTATCAATTGTTTTTACTCATGAAAATAGTCTTACTTCCAGTAGGGGGATTCTTCTAAATCTTGGACAAGGAAGACAAAGTCATTAATTTTTAAATGATATAATTTGGAACATGATAAGAAGCGAAAGAATTGGGAATAATGCTACTTAACTAAATTATTTTTTTTCAATGTAGGTAAGATTTCATTACACTGAAACTCAAACCCATCAATCATGCATAAAAAGTCAGTTACAAATGAAGAGTTTATCGTATTTAAGCTCATATATACTTGAGGAACGATGTGGTTATTGAAGCAGTTTAACAGATTTCTCTTTGTGAAAGAATATAAGCATTAAGTTCGTATTTTCAATGTGCACAGAAAATATTATAAAACACTCTTTGAATTAAATAGGTGGCATGGAAAAGCAATGTTTACTGTCTTTTCTTTTATAGCTATCAGTCAGCTCATGTTAGGAAATATCAATTTAAGCAATGATTACCATTTATTATGAGTCAATCATTAACCAGTGTGTGAAAAATATTCTCCCATAAAATAAAATCTGAATATTACTTCCGATCTTTTCATGAAAAGGTGATTCAATTTTTAAAAACATATACACATTTCATTCAGAGAATCTTTACTGTCAAGTGAAAGTAAACATTTGTCTTTAGCCAAATAAGAGAAATTAACAGAAACTCTTTAGTTTTTATTCTTTTTTAAAAATTTTGTTAATGTTTATTTTTGAGAGAGAAGGAGAGAGAGACAGAGAGATAGAGAAAGTGCACACAAGTGGGGGAGGGGCAGAGAGAGAGGAAGACACAGAAAGTGAAGCAGGCCTCAGGTTCTGAGCTGTCAGTGCAGAGCCAAACGTGGGCCTCAAACTCACTAACTGTGAGATCATGTCCTGAGCCGAATTCACACACTCAACCTGACTGAGCCACCAAGGTGCACCAACAGAAACTTTTTAAACAGTTCCAATACAATGGTTAATGTTTGTTTTTTTTGAAAAAAAAAAAATGTTTTCTTAAAACAGACAAGTCTTGCATGTACAAAACGTAACATTATTCCATTAATTTGCACTAATCCAAGATCCTCATGAAGTCACTATAAATTACATTAAAAAATTCAGAATGGAAACCCCCATACACACAGACACATAAACATACACATATTTTTTAGAGTAAATTATTTTCAGGATAACTTTCCTCTAAATAGCAAGTGCATATACTCAATAGTGAGAAGTGAGAATTAGGGAATTTACAGACTTAGAATTTTGAGGTTAGCTTTTGTAAATCCAAGCAAATAAGTAATCATCTTCATATATTACCACCTTTTCTTCTCTCACCTCTCAGTAAGATGTTCCAATCTTCCTCATGTAAAAATCCAGCATCATTCTATTCTATGCCCTCTATCAAGATCAATTACCACTTGCACTTCACTGCAAAATCTATTGAAATAATACATATTCATTGTTTGTATTTCCTCATCTTTCAATTGATTCAGTGGACATGTAGTCCTTGCCTCTCTCTGGAAATGTCTCCTGTGGTAGTCTTATGCAATGTTCTATCTCCTGAGACCAGTGATTTCTCTTGTAAGCACCTTTGTTGACTTTTAAGTAGCAAGGAAGTGACTTAACTAAGTTATGCAACAACTCCTTCTGGATCAAAAGTTCTTTTGCCTCAAAGACAATGTTACTTTTCCTTGTTTTCTTCTTATTTTCCAGAACATTTACTATTCTTTACTGGTTTATTTTTTTATCCCAAATTACCTGGTTCTTATACTCTGGTTTCTCTTCAGATCGTATAAATCTTTCGCCTTTTACCAAATTACCTGGTTCTTTTTCTTATATATTTTAAAATATAGCATGCCCTATCCTCACACATCTCTGAGTATTGATGTCTGGTGTAGGCAGGCTTCCACGTTTCTCCTACAGTGCCAAGAGCCTCACACTATTTCTCTCTGCTGGCTTCCAAATAGAACCAAGGCTTCTTGACTCAGTAGAGGCAAATGAAATAGAATTGAAAGGAGCAGGAAAAGGCCTGCAGTAGGGTCACCATGTTCCTAGAATCTCCTTGCTTTACTCCTTGTGAAAGTTCCCCAGGTTCCATTTCCCATTTATACTGGTTTCCTCAACTCACACACATTCTTCACATGACTCCTATTACTAAAAGAAGAGGAGGAGAAGGAGGAAGGGAAGAGGGAGAAAGAAGAGGAGGGGCAGGGAGAGGGAAAAGAAGAAGAAAGAAGCAAAAGAAGCAGAAGCAGAGGAAGAAGGAGGAGGAGGAGGAGGTGGAGGAGGAGGGGGAAGAGGAAGAGGAAGAAGAAGAAGAAGAAGAAGAAGAAGAAGAAGAAGAAGAAGAAGCAGCAGCAGCAGCAGCAGCAGCAGCAGGTGGAGGAGGAGGAGGAGGAGGAGGAGAGGAAGGGAGAAGAAAAGTAGTGAACAGCTCATAAAATACTGCCACCTCTAGTTCTCCCAAATTCCTGAATCAGTTGCTACTGATAAAAGAACAGAAAAAACAAATGGGAATAGAATTTAGTGACTCATCCCTTACATATAACACCCTGTGCTTATCGCAACGAGTGCCCTCCTTAATGCCCATCACCTGTCTAGCCCATCACCCTGTGTTCTTTCCCTCTAGCAATCCTCAGTTTGTCCTCTATAGTCAAAAGTTTCTTTTATAGTTTGCCTCTCTGTCTATTATTTTTCTTTCCTCTGTGTTCGTTCATCTGTTTTGTTTCTCAAATTCCACATTAGTGAAATCATATGGTATTTGATTTTTTTCTGACTTATTTCTCTTAGCATAATACACTCTAGCTTCATCCACATCGTTGCAAATGGCAAGATTTCATTGTTTTTGATGGCTGAGTAATATTCCACTGTATGTATGTGCGTGCGTGCGTGTGTGCGTGTGTGTGTGTGTGTATACCACCTCTTCTTTATCCATTCTTCAGTTGATGGACATTTGGGCTGTTTCCATACTTTGGCTATTGTTGATAGTGCTGCTATTAACATTGCAGTGCATGTTCCCCTTCAAATAAATATTTTTGTATCCTCTGGGTAAGTACCTAGTAGTGCAATTCTGGATCATAGGGTAGTTCCATTTTTAACTTTTTGAGGAAACTCCATACTGTTTTCCAGAGTGGCTGCACCAATTTGAATTCCCATTAATAGCGCAAATGGGTTCGCCTCTCTCCTCATCTTCGCCAACATCTGTTGTTTCCTGTGGGGTTGATTTTAGTCATTTTGACAGTTGTGAGGTGGTATCTCATTGTAGTTTTGATTTATATTTCCCTGGTGATGAGTGATGCTGAGCATCTTTTCATGTGTCTGTTAGCCATCTGTATGCCTCTTTCATAGTATTCCGTTTTAATAAGGTATTCGGTACATGCTCAGTGAATGAATGAATAGATGAAAACAAATGGAAATGATACTTTGAATGGGAAAGTAGTCTAATACAGAAGGTGATTGTCATTATTCTAAGTGGTATATAAACAAAGCCTTTCAATTCCTTTTAAAGTAGTCACTAAACATGACTCACATTTAATTCAAATAAAAGTGTCACATAAAGCAATACTATAGTTTTATCTTTGACATATCAGTTTTTATGAGATGCTAAGAATTTGACAAAATATTTAAGCATGTATATTCAACTATCAAGGAATATTTATGTAATATTGGTCAAAATTTGAAGTAAATACTCATTTTTAATGATACAGGATGGACCATCATTTTAAATAACTTATCTACTTGTAAAATAAAGTAAGATTTTCTCATAGGAATATAATCTTGCTGGGGAAGAAGTTTTTTATCAATATCCAATATTTGTAAATAGATTCTATAACTTTTTAAAAATATATTGGAGTTATACATAAAACATAAATGTATCTGAGTAGAAATCACAATAAAGGAAGAACCATCTTCCACTTTCCTATGTTGTTAATTTAGGAGAACATTCACTTATTCATCCTCTTGCCAAGAGATTAGTAAAGACTTCATTAAATACTGGATTTGAGCTCTAGAATGTGTCATCCACTCAGCACTATTCTTGCTGAGTCATCAAAATACACAGAGCTAAAAGCATTAATTTCCCCTTAAAAGTATTCTTGAAAGCTGTGCTGTTTCAGAAACAGAAGCAAAGTCAGCTGAAAAAGTACAGTTAAATTCACCTTTAAGTGGAAACGTATTTAAAAAATCAATTTTGAGTGACATGTTTTTATTTATTATAGGACAGAATTTAATCCAACTAGGTTTTTATTTTTTTAGGAAATTTAATATATTGCTCAATCCTGTATACCTTTCACATTGAAATGTTAGTCCTATTTTTACGGTTTCAACTGTTGGATTTAATCCTTTGTCTCAGAGGGTTTAACTAATGTATTCCAAAGCCCTGACTTGCAATATGTTGCAAGAAATAATTTTGAAAAGACAAGGCAGAGAAACCTGACAAACAAAGTTGCTCCTTGCTGCAAATTTGAAGGCTCTCCTCACCTGGTATACAGGATAATCAAAACCTGATTTATACTTATAGGAATGAACATTTCTGATTGACAAATTATAAGGCGACCCTTCCTATTTGCTGCAAATTCATATAAATTAAGTTAAATAATACTTCTTGTCATTCTTGATTTTTTTTTCATTTTAATGTCCTTAACAGTCTAAACCTAATTACTTTTCAGAGCATTTCTCAAATGATGGCAACAAGTGAAGCAATTTTAAATAAGTACCTCAGCATCCGAGGGAAACCAAAAGTTTACATAAGCCAGCGATCACAAAATAATCATGATCATTCCCACAAGCCTGATGCTAAGAGTTTCTGAGTTTCTGAGACAGAGTTTCTCAGATAGCTCTTTTGCCCAAAGAAATCACTTCAAATTTGGGAAATCTAGATACATCTAAACCCATATATAAAATATTTTAAGTAAATCTTTTGACATTTCTCTGTTTTGACCATGATTGTGAAGGTGACTCTGTGAGTTTTGATACACACAGTTATGACTGATACAAATGAAAAGGTGTATAGTTTGGGATTTATTTCTGTATACAAATAAACTCTTCTGTTGCTCACTGTTTTTTTGTTTATTAAACAAATCTAAATATTCAAGGGCCATCTTCCTTTTTGTTTAATGAAATAAAATCTAAGATGTTGTTTAAAATTTAGAAGTATTTATTGAAAGGTAAAATAACAAATGAGAACAGTGCAGATATTTTAGATAAGATACCTACATGACTTGGGTTTTGCCCTAGCCCATTAGGATTTTGCAAAATTCTACACTGTAAATATCTGTATTAAAAATGTGTAACCAGGGCGCCTGGTTCACTTAACCAGTTAAGTGTCTTACTTGATCTCAGCTCAAGTCTTAATCTCAGGGTCGTGAGTTCAAGCCTTGCATTGGGCTCTGCACTGGGCATGAAGCCTACTGGAAAAAAAAGTAGTGCAATCTATCCCATCAAAATTCGTTTCACAAATGAAAAGAAAAAGGACTTTTGAAATCCACCTTACTTTAAGATTTGGAAACCCATCAACGGAAAATTACATTTTTTCACTTATAGAAAAAAAGTTTGGTACTATTGGAGTTTCAAAATTGCTTTACATTTTATTTTATAATTCTCAATTCTGGTTAAAATTTTTTAATTATGTTACATGGCAACCTGTTAATCTCTTGTAAATACTATCAGTGGGAATAAAAAGTCTAATGCTGCAAATATGCTAAATTATGTTTAACTTTATTCAAACTGGAAATTATTTTATTAAGAAAGTGTTTGATAACCTTCATTTTAAATTTGGAAATTTCCTTAGAGTAGGTGGTCATTATTCTGGTTCTAACTAAACTAAACAGGTTACTGTTTAGTTCTTGGCTGTAGATACATTTTTAGCTATGTGATTCTATAATTGTGAATAATATATCTCTATCATATATAGATATATATATGATATATATATACTTTCTACCTTTTATTTGTGAAAACAAAGGTATACTTATACTATAGCCTCATAATACACATATGCCAAAACCTATAATGAACGAATTATTCATCCAATAAGTGTTTGTAAAACACACTCTGTGCTAAGAGCTGTACTTAGCAAGACAGGTTTTCATGGGATCAGATTGTGACTTGGTCTTCACTATGCTTATTTTGGGGGTGGTGAAATTACTATAGTTCCACCTACAAGCTTCACCTAGTTTCACCTTTCTGTTTCTTTGAGAGTCTGTGAATGTAGCTATAATCATGTCTCCAGAAACACTGCACATTTGTTCAGAACCTGTTTTTGTTTATTTCATTACTTGCCTGGAATTACATCTTTCTCAAGTTCCACTTGTTTCTGAAAAGAATTGTGCACATTGGAGAATAAAAAGAATTGAACACATTGAGATAGCACACAATTTTACTTAATATCCTTTAACATATTTGTAACATATAAACTAAATTAGATCTTACCTTATCTTAACTAAAATCATCCCTAACTTGCGTACATTAAAATATTCTACATTTACAAAATAAGATGATGTATGTAAATTG